CACATCTTCGACGTAGGTTCAGTCAACGGGACCCGTTATTGTAACGAGATTCTTCTTCCATATTGTGCGTCTTTTTAGAGGCGCTATGGGTCCGCAGTTCCTTTTCATGGACGACATGCACCATGTCATCGCACAGTAGCTGCCGAACAGCTCTTAAGGAGTGAGGATATTGAACGTATGGATTGGCCGGCACGATCTCCGGATCTCAATCCCATCGAGCATGAATGGGATTTTCTAGGCAGACGCTTGGCAGCTCGTACCTTACCACCAGTAACGATTCCGGAGCTTCGATTGGCGCTGCAAGACGAATGGGCAGCAATGCCTCAACAACTCATTGACACCTCATTCTCAGCATGGGCAGACGCTGTGAAACATGCCTATTAAACCTCAGGGGGGGAGATCAGGCTGGACACACCTATCACGGGATGTTTCGGCCTTCAGGACACATGTTTCGGCCTTCAGTCGCATTGCGCTCCAACTTTTTCAATAAACTTCATTTTATCCCTCTGATTTCTCTTTTAGTAAGTGTTGCTTACATTACTCATGTCCTTACGTATTGGGGATCTTATGGTATTAAATGTGTTGATTTGGAAAGCTTTTGTACAAAGTTATATTGAAAAAACCGTCTTGTTCTTAATTTTTGCACACCAGTGTAATTCTCTAGCGAAACTGCTGTAAGTTCTGGCTCAAAATACCATGGTTAAGAAAAGTTTTGATTTCGAACAGTCATCCGAGAAAAATATCCCCAAATTAAAATTGTTCCGGGATCAAAATTCCCGGAATTTTTCTTACTTAATGGAAGCAAATTTTAGTCAAATTAATAGCTCCCACAGAAAACAAAAAATCTCATATGACCGCATGAATTCCTTGTGCGCCTATTAAATTACGCACATGTGTTTTTGCTGCACGTCATTTAAACTTCAATCGAACGTCAAATCGAAAATAAAGTGAAAATCTTCAAATTTTGAAATTAAGTTCCCCGGTCAATTTTTGTCATACGGGAGTCAAATTGAATGTGTTTTTATTCTTTCATAATGAGTATTAAAATTTTTCCAAAGATAAGTATAGGAGCCGGGAGACTACATTTAAAAGCGAGTTTTCGTTATTTGAAAAAAATTCTACATTTTCAAACATGAATATTTTTCGTCATTTAAAACATTATAATTGGATGTATATTACTGTGAACGAAGATTTCGGAAATAAATTTCGGGTAAGCACTTTTAAGTCGGGTAAGAGGAATGGATAACTCTTTTTCTATATATATATTTGCTACTGCGATTGCAATATAAAAGGAAAATGCATAACTAGATGTTATGGCAGTCCCACATACAAAGCTTCAACGTTCTTCGATTAATCGTTTCAAATCATTTCAAAACAGGCCGACCTGTTATATAGTGAAATTACATATTATCACTATATTCCAGGTCAGTCTGTTTTATTAAGGAATTTGAAATAAATAGCTTTAAACGTAAAACAGAGGAAATAGGCAGCAAACCGAGAAAAATATAATTGTAATCACAGAAATAGTAAGGTATTGGAATAATTATGTGCCTGACTCATATGCAATTTTGAAATAGAATGGGATAAATATAAAACAAAATCTATCAAAAGAATGCTAAAAAAATATTCCTAAAACAAAACAAAACAAAACTTTATCTTTACAAAGTTGACTGAATATTAAACACGCAAAGGCTCAGAAAATACAATAAAATAATTCTATAGAAAAATCAAGAATCACCTTTTAGAAGAAATTCTATCCACAGTGGATATTTCTGCATACTTGTAGTTTTGAAATTCATTTGCATAGATGTACTAAATATTGAAACATACAGACTCAATGTTTTCTTAATACAGGCGAACCCGTCAATACCGCCCAAATTCCACACAGCCAGATTCCTGTCATGCAGTACATAAAAAGTAAGTACAGTCCACAGTTTTTGAGATAAATGTGGAAGAAAAGTATGACGTGATGCCTGATGCAGAACATTGATATTGCCTATGTTTACACAGAAAATAAATGTGTAATGGCCAACTGCGTATTTTGCAACAGCATGGTTTCCACCCAAGTGCACGCAGCATGAAGATGAGGCAACCTGAATCATTTCCTATAGTAACTAAATTTTGATATACCAATTCCTTCAGATAGCTGCATGCGAAGGAACCCAAAGGTGTCAGATCTGGTGATCTTGATGGCCATAAAGCTGAATCCCCACATGCAGGCCTGCGATCTGGGCATTCCATATCCAGCTAATAGAACTGAAATGCGCTGGAGCTCCACCATGCTGGAACCATAGTCGATGCGACGAATATGACTTTATACATTTTTTCGCATTTATCTCGAAAGCTATGGGTTGTACAGGTACAGTCCTTTAGGCATTTTTTATATATTCCAAGCGAGGAATCTGGCAGTGCAGGGTTTTGGTTGTCTTGGTGGGACATCCTGTATATTATTTCTTCTTTAGTTTAAGCATTGCTTGATATAAAAGAAATATCATCAAAAATTTTATTATAATAAAATAATTTATTCAAAAAGTTTTAATCAGTAGCTCACACATTAATTCGGACACTTTAAAGTTTGGTTGAAATGTTTTAGCAGATGTATTTCTTCTCACAGTGTTTTAATTGTAAGAAGTGTCTGCATTTGGTAATTATTATTTATTTAGAAAAATATATTAGCAGTTCCATATCTGAAGTCAACATGGCAAAATGCTATAAACGAACAAGTTCTGTTATGAACTTAACTAATTATCATTTTAAAAGATGCCAAAAATATTTGAAATATACCAATGATTTATAACATTTAACTATCTTTGATGTTACAAAACAATGGAAATATCTTGGAACTGTTAGAAATGCACAGAATTCTGGACCACATCCCGAGCTCATACGAAGAAGTCAGAAATTTATGCTATGAAAAATTCAAGGAAAATACAGGCATTGAAACAGTTTATAGTAACATTTAACCTTGAAACTATAATAAGAATCATTTAGAGCACAGTTGACGATCAGCAAGAAAGAAATTCTTCGTCAACAAGGAAGCAAGGAGAAATATGCCTGGTGAATCACGCTTCTAAGCAAACAAAGATTTATCATATTAAAACATATTTGCAAATGAGGTCACCATTTAATACATTTACGTCCGATGGACAAATTGCTGTGTGGCGAAAGTCGAATAAAAAAATTCAATTCCAAAATTGAATGTGTACTTTTAAGCACGGGAATGGAGGCATAATGGTGTGGAGATGTTTTGCTGATTCTCCGATGAGAGACAGTTGTTTAGAAAGTAATATGGATAAGTATAAAAATATTTTAATGAGAACCTGAAAGCATGTGCAAGAAAACTTAAGAATACAATATACATTCAAATTCTATTACGATAATAATACTTAGCATACAGAGTTTAATGTTCGCTTGTGGTTATTATACATCTACCTGAGGTTGTCAAAACTCTTCCATATTCTCGGGACTTAAATACTATCCAGCACATATGCAGTGAGTTGGTGAAAGAATATTGCTTCGAAACCTCAGCTAAACATAATTTTTATGGAGGAGTAGTACAAGAGAAAAATTAAATGAATCTATGTCAAAGTATGATTTTAGGTGAAAATTGTCTAATAAAATATTGAATAACTTGTTATTTTCGTGTTTTTTATGGAATATAAATTGTTTGTTCAAACTGTCCGAATAGTTATGCGAGCTCATTTTCAAAACTTTTGAATAATCCCCCCCACCAAAAAAAAAAAAAAACTCTTTGAATAATTTTTTTCTAAAAGAGGCCATTATTAAAAAAGGCGATCAGTAATATAAATGGGAAAAAAATAAAGTTATTTCTCTAGTGTTTAGTAACTGTATTTGCAAATAAAACTGGAAAACACAAGGGTCCGAAAACAAATGCGAGCCATTGGATAAAATAAAAAAGTTATTAAAAGAATGGTTACAGAATATTACTAAAAAAACTTATCTTTACAAAATTCTCCAAACCAAGATCCTCCCCCCCAAAAAAAAATAACTCCTTAAAAAAATCAAGAATAGCATTTTAGAATCAAATCTATTTATATCTTTTATAGACGAGCGTCCTTAATTTTCCAGACAATCTTTCGGCACATGTACGTAGCTCGAGCTCTCGTTATTTTTTTTTAATTGCCAACTCCTTGGTTAAATTTGGTAAATTTGTAATTTCGAATTTGCTTTTTATTTATTTCGTATTTTATGCTAATTTCAGGAGCTATTGTTTAAAAGTTCAGCGATTTAAACCGTAGTGTTTCCTCTCTGAAAATCTTAAGATATTTCTATTTAAAATTTAATTAGAAAACGTTGCGACGTAAAAGAAGTGTCGCAACTAAATAAAATGCATTAGATCTGTCTTTCGATAAATGGCTTCAGCTAGAGCCACCAAATTTTCAGTACACATGGTCCTCCTTCCAAACCTATGCATTTTGTAGCCCATGATTTTAATTTTATTTTTGATTTTGATTTATTTCATATTTTGTGCGAATTTAAGAAACATTTGATTAAAACCTCAACGACGTAAAATCTTTGTGTTTAAACTCTACAAAACTCTACAAAGCCTAAGACATTTACGTTTCAGATTTAATAAAAAAAACTCAGAGATATAAAAAATGTGTGTTGCCATTCGATAAAATTTAAAGTCAGCTCTTTAAAATTTAATAAAAGAACTCAAGGTTTAAAAGAAATATGTGTTGCCACCGCGCGAATTAAAATATTTATATTTTTCGCATGCTAGTTTGTTATATTTTAGGGAAGCACATGATATTTATTGTTTTTTAAAAATTTATTCTATTATTAAAAAACAAACTAAGCAATTTTAAAGCAGCAAACTTGTAAATTCCTTTGAAGAATATATGTATGTATATTCTTTTTATAATAACTATTTTAGCGGCTGTTGACGCAAGTGGGTAAACCGATTAGCCATTAAATTGCGGTATATTAGTACATATACTTACCATCTAAATTTACAAATTGCATTTCTTTTGTTTCAGTATACTGTATGCCGACATCGTCAACTTCACTCCACTTTCAGAACAACTTTCGGCTTCGGATTTGGTTCGCACCCTTAATGAACTGTTCGGACGCTTTGACCAAATAGCTCAGGTGAGTTTCCATTACTTTTATTTATTATCATCCATGACCATATACTCAAAAATCATAAACATGCCCATTTCTGCCGCCATGTTTTCAGATTCGTTAATATTCCTTCACTACCATTCATACTATCTCGGGTTTTCAATTTCGTGAGTATTCTTTCATAATTTTCATACTATCCATGTTTGCAGTTTCATAAATGTTCCTTAACTATTTTCATACTATGCGAATTTTAGTTTCGTGAGTATTTCTTCACCGCTTTCATACTATTCGAGTTTTCAATTTTTTGAATATTCTTTACTTTCATATTATCTGTACTTTCAATTTCGCATCATTCCAGTTGTCTCGGGATTTTAGTTTCAAGAGTATTCTTCCGCTATCCGCTGTAGGGAACCAGGTTTGTAATGTGTCCTTGGATATAACAAATAATTTTGGTATTTACATATTAACAGAGAAGAAGGAGTTTCTAACTTTAGCGGTAATTTGATACAATTACTGTTTCTTTATTTCGAGTTAAAATATTAGGCAATAGCTTCTAAAATAGGTTAGAAAGTTTTTCCCTCCCTAAGCTACAACTCTGCTGTCGCATGTACTCCACTAATTTTAATTTCAAATGGTGTCTTCCGTGTACTACACCTATGTTTCTTGTTCCGCCCTTTTGAAAAACCCATACCCGCTCGATATCTTGCTTTTCGAACTCCGGAATCTGCAAATTACAGCACTGACGATTACTCGGCAGTATATTATGCTCTTGGAAGAAACAAATAGCATCCCTTTCATTGTTTGCTGTATCCTACACATCCATGATAAAACTATAAAACTCCGAAAAACAAAATCCGTTCTTAAAACTGCGCCTTATAGGTGTTCTTAAAACTTAGCGGCGTCATGCAGTTGCAGTAACCATCTATTTGTGTTATGCTGAGGAAGTTATCAACTGTTCGCTCGTTTTTGGCGAATTTTGGTTTTTACACCGTAACTGAACTTTTTGATCTCGTACAATTTCCTTCACACTTAATGTTGATTTATAAGGCTACAGCGAACCTTTAAATAACGAAACTTCCTTCTTATAGAAAACCTGAATTTAATTATAAAATCGTTATACAATTATATGAATGTATTCGATCGAATTTGTTAAGTATTTCTGGATGTATCGCAGTTTTAGCTTCGAAGAAAGTCCTTTATTAACACACAGGAGATCACGTTTTTATGTTGCTATTAATGAGAGTTATTAGTTATAAACATTTTTCCCTCTGCGACTTAAAAATGCAATCTAAATACATGCATGGGGATTTTTCGAAGTTTTGAAAGGAAGTGGGAGAATGAACATCTAAAAATAGTGAAAGAGTTCATGAGAATATTAATAGCTTAGAAACTTCGAAAACTTATTAATAACCTGTGTGAAAATTCTTTCGACTTACCAAATATCATAATAGTATCATTTAAAGATACTAGTAAATCGCAAAAAAGTATCATTAAATGGAAGTTAAGTGGAAAACTGAAGCTTCTAATTAGTTTATTAATCGGACACTTCCATACAATTTCAAAACGAGGTCAAATATCGTCATTTTTAATTAATTATACCAGTACATTTTTTCCGTACGGTAGTCAAACCTTTTATGCTTTATATTTGAAAAACTAGCTGAAGTAGGGGGATTGACCGGGCTTTTCACAAAATGAAGAGGCTTCATTTAGGGTGATCATTAGATACTTTTTTCCTCGAAATCCCATATTCGAAGTACTCGTGAAAAGCGCATTTAAACGCTGCTGTAAATATTCTACATTATTCTGGAAGTTCTAGTCTTCTAAAGAAATAACTAGTATAGTGCCATCTAACAGTTTTAGTAAGAACAGATACTTGCTTCGTTATCGACTGTCATTTTTCGAAAAATCCCCATCCACTTTGGCTGTTTTTAATCGATATTTTCGAATTATTCGCGGAAAACGTGCTGAAAAGGGACAGGGAAAAGTGGGCGGAGCACGAGAACTTTGTACATGCTGACACAGGTATTGCTCCGTTGCAGTATTATAAAAGTCCAAAAACACCCCACTGAGCCCAAAAGGCTTGAGTGGCGCAACAACAAGCAGCGAATCATCGTTACCCGTAACTCCAAGACCGTCCCCTCTGGTGGGGATCGGGCCCTCCATCCATTGGTTCGGCATTTATTAATTTTGTATGAAGTTTACAATTTGTACCATTTGCAGTGGTGCATATAATACCGTTTGCAATAATTTTGTTAATATTATCCAAATATAATATGATAATATAGCTTAGAAATTCATAAATAAGGAATAAAATTAAATAAAAAAAATGATACAAAGAAAAATAGACTTCATAATATAATCTTTGTCTTTAAAAACCTTTGTCTTTCTTTAAGTATGTTTTTATCATTTAAAAGTTTTTAAACTGAAAAATCCTTTCTTTTAATAAATGTTTGTCATTTGAATGTACTTTCCTTTCATAAGTTTATCGAATTGAAATTTCTTTCCTTCTAAAAATCTTTGACATTTAAAAATGCTTTTCTTTGACAGAAATCTAAAGTTCATATCATAGTCTTTATTCTTATAAGCAGGCTTTATCCTGTAAAGTCTTAATCAAAATAAGCCTTCATTCTTTAAAAGTCTTTTTAGGGTTTAAAGGTCTTTCTTTTAGTTAAATATTTTTGTATAATAAATAGCATTTGGTAATGATTGGATAATGTTTTGATATTTGATTTGTATTAAAACAATTATGATGTTAAAGTATTGTAGCATATTTCTTCTTTGTCAACTGACATTACTGTTTGCATAATTTGGTTATTTTCTGGGGAATTTAAGGGGTTCGTAGAAGGTATCGGATATCTGCCATATTGTTGATTGATCGGATTTTACAATGTAGGTCTAAAGTTATTTGGCATTGGAAAACATAGTGATCCGGATCTCCCCTTTCACCATATATATATACAGATCTGGAGTACTAAGGTTTCTATTAAAATAATAAGTGGGAAAGGGGCAATGACCAGTTATGTATAGGTTAATATAGAAGTTCGTGTAGGAGCCTTCTTTCACTGATTTTTGAAAAAGATTATAGACTCTCCTATCTTCATCTTCTGATTTCCATTCTAATAACCATTTTTTACAAAAAAATTCACGAATTGTGCTTTTCAGATGGATACGTGGTAATGGTATGTTGACTAGGGTAAGTGTATCATCTAGTGCTGCTTTTTTTGCCTTTTTTATCTACTTCATTGAAATGGTGACCTGCATGTCCTCTGATCCAGTTAATGAAGACTCTAAATATGCGGCGAACAGCAAGTCCTCTAGAGAGGTTGTTGGTCGAGTAAAAGGCGTAGAAACACTCCAACCCGTCCCACGGGTTCCACCATCAAAATTGGGAGCGGAATTGAGAAAAGTCGAACTGTTACGTGTATGACGGTCAAGGCTACTACCATTGAGAGACGCAGTCTTATACTCTTGCCACGATGAATTTCGAAGGCTTGTTATGATGTTATTGCCAAAAAATTAGGTAAGTCATAACAACACTGAAGCATAGCATAATTTATGAACTATGACACATAAAAATGTATCCATCTAATAAATGAAGAAGAATAAAGTACTCTTTCTTTTATTGCATGAGCATTTTTTCAAGGCCTATGCAGTTGGATACATACTGTATTTCTTCTTGTGTTCCTCCCTCTAGCTTTTTTTTGCCTCAGGTTGCTGGATTTTCCCCTTTCTCAATCCAGCGCGAGCTCCTCTAAATTTGAAAATGGATTTGTTCACTTTGTGATTGCTTTTGTCTTCCTAATAAAGAGAAACCTCACAAGCTACCTGTGATGGTCATGTCGAACCTTTTCTTTCTAACTATATAACTTCATGCCAATCTAATACAAGAACCGAGCCATCCAGCGAAGCAAATACGAACATTAAGTCTAGGATTTCGCTCATTCACCTTCTCTAATAATAGTAGACACCGCTTATTATGATCGCGGTTAATGTTATCTGACGTTCGGATATAGTTAACGAATTGCGGAAGTTCCTCCCAATTGTTCATGGGAAACATGGAAAAAATAAATCGCTTTTTGTTAGCAACAGTTCAGCTAATCTTATCAAATATCAAAGACTATTTTAAACTGAAATAAAATCGCCAGGCAAACGACAACGGCAAACTAGAATTGCCTAATAAATTATAAAAATGTTAAATTTTTTTCCAAGAGACAGAAAATTTTGCATTTTAATAAAGAATTAAGAGGCCAAATAGCTTGGTTTCGATTTTAGTCAGCCGTTTAAAATTAGGCTGTTTGACATAGATTTTCAACAACTTTGCAATTTCAGGAGTAAAAGACACAAGTTCGTCTTCTTCAGAGGCAAAAAATTTCTGCAAAATTGTTTTTAATCTAAAAACATCCCTGCCAAACTATAATTGCCTTTTTTTAAATCTAATTTTAAATTTTGTATTGGCATCTTCTCTTCTAGCGAGGGATGCTTTTTTGTGTTTTAAGATTGAAGGTACAGAATCCTCAAATAATTTCCAGAAACGTTATAAACTGTTCGTAAATGAGCTTTTACATAAAAAGCATTATGAACAGGTTACAAAAAAAAGTTTTGCATTTTCCTAATTAAAATGCCGTGAAAGCACCTTTTTATACGTTTGTAGTTGTATTAAATGAGCTAAATTCCAACGCTATTTAGAAGGGTATTTTTTCTCATCGCTTAATGTTATCATTCTGTTAATGTTATCAAAAATAGTCGTGGACAAATGTGATCACATTAACCAACGCCTAATCCAGTTACAGATGATTTGAGGCCGAAGCAGTAGAAGAGGCAACAAGAAGAAGGAGAGAGATGCAAGTTACAGCGAAGTAGAAATGAAAATGTCTGTATTTTGATTGCAATGCTGGTTTCCTTTAAAGCGAAAATATTGTCGTAGTTACTCGTAATTTATACACGACTGCTTTTCATTTGTTATGTTCTTATGGTAGCCGCATCCACCGAAATTAAATTATTCGCTTCATTTACCCCTCTCGATTTTC